CTTGAGCCCAAGAGTTTGAGATTGCTGTGAGCTATGATGATGGGGCACTCTACCTAGGCTGACAGAGTGAGACGTTGTCTCAAAAACAAAACGAAAAGAGAGAATGGGGGTTTTGCCCTGGAGAGAATCAAGTATGAAATTGGAAGTTTACTCTCACATAAGAAGAAATTTTTTGAAAGGTGCGGTGGCTCACACCTATAATCCCAGCCCTCTAGGAGGCTGAGGCAGGAGGATCCTTTGAGTTCATGAGCTTAAGCCTAGCTTGAGCAAGAGTGAGACCCCATCTCTACTAAAAATAGAAAAACTAGCCGAGCATGGTGGTGGCACCTGTCCCAGCTATTCTGGACTCCGAGGCTAGAGAATTGCTGGAACCCAGGAGTTTGAGGTTGCTGTGAGCTATGATGACATCACTGTACTCTAGCCGGAGTGGCAGAGTGAGACCCAATCTTCCAAAAAAAAAAAAAGAGGAAAGAAAATACAAAGCAGTTTTCTATGGCAACAGACGGATGTAGTGTGGTGAGAATAGAAAGCATTTGAATTTAAATACTACCAAGCCCGGCCATGTGATCAAATCGCCAAATCTACTGGTAAAACTAAGACTAACACCTGAGGAGTTGCTTTTTATGGATGAGAAAAGAGTGATTTCCTGAAACGGCATCTACTGCTGGTGAAGACACCGTGAGCACTGAGTTACAACACGGGATTTAGAACATCACATCACAAGTTAGCTGGTTGTATATCTGTTATCTGCCCAATAGAGGCCTTCTCCAATCTCACATGAGCCTTTTTGGGGGGGAGTGGGGGGACAGAGGTTTGTTATGTTTCCCTGGGTAGAGTACTGTGGCAACAGTACTCAAACTCCTGGGCTCAAGTGATCCTCCTGCCGCAGCCTCCCAGGCATCAGGGACTACAAGGCATCCGCCACAATGCCTGGCTAGTTTTTCTGTTTTCAGTACAGATGGGTCTCACTCTTGCTCAGGCTGGTCTTGACCTCCTTTGCCCTCCCTGAATTCTAGTATTACAGGTATAAGCCACCACCCATGGCCTCATCTGAGCATGTTTTTGTTTTTTGGATTTTTTTGAGACAGAGCCTCACTTTGTTGCCCGAGTACCCTGGCATCATAGCTCGCAGCAACCTCTAATTCTTGGGCTCTTGCCTTAGCCTCCCTAGTAGCTGGGACTAGGGCACCCATCACAGTGGCCGGCTTTTTTTTTTTTTTTTTTTAAGAAATGGGGTCTTGCTGTAGCTCAGGCTGGTCTGGAACCTGTGACCTCAGGCAATACGCCCACCTTGGCCTCCCAAAGCACTGGGATTATAGGCTCCTAGCCTTTTTTTTTTTTTTTCCTTTTTAAGAGACAAAGTCTGACTTTGTCACCCTTGGTAGAATGCTGTGGTGTTACAGTTCACAGCAATCTCCAGCTCTTGGGTTTAGGCAATTCTCTTGCCTCAGCCTCCTGAGTAGCTGGGACTACAGGCACCCGCCACAATGCCTGGCTATTTTTTTGTTGCAATTTGGCCGGGGCTGGTTCGAACCTGCCACCCTCGGTATATGGGGCCAGTGCCCTACTGCTGAGACACAGGTGCTGCCCAGCTTGTCTGGCCTTTCATCTGAAACTTTTAACCTTAGGAGGGAGATACTTTTATTTTACTGAGAACCGAAGTAGAGCCAATATATTAAAAATGACCAGACAGTAACATTCAAACTTTGAACCCCCAGATGAGTTCTTCTTTCCTCCAGACAGAGGGTGTCTTCCTGAAGGTATTCACAGTTAGATACCTGTAGCTGACAGGAGGGGAGAATCTGGGAAGTTGAGACCTGGTGAAGAGGAGAAAGTAAAATTCCCAGGAATGACACTGAAACTATTCTCATGAAGTATATTTATGTCCAACAAAATTTTTAATTGAAATATCTATTAAAATCTTTTGGGAATAATTTGGAGTTTTTTTTGCAGTTTTTGGCCGGGGCTGGGTTTGAACCCTCCACCTCCGGTATATG